CCACAAAAGAAGGTGAAGGGGATTCTCGTGCTTTTCAGGGATTTTTGATTGGGGACTTCAATCAGTGCTTCAGGTGTTATGGTACCCCATAGGATATTATGCCGGACAAAAAAATCCACAAGAATTGCATGTCGCTCAGGAATTGGTACCTCTTTGAAAATGTAGGACTTCCCTTACAACAGCACGATTTACTGCTTCACTAAAAATTACAAAGTCCTTAAGGGGGCATGTACAATTGAGTAATCCCTCCCCTTGCGGCGCCTGTATCACCGTGCGATAGGGATTTCCGAAGAAATTGATATTATGGCAATCCTTTGGTTTACCTAATGAAACTATTGCTTTGAACCTCAAGGATACATGTATTAAACTGTGTGTTTCATACCAGGTTGTGGAGGGGTACGCGCAGCAAAAGAAATTGCAGGTTAGATGTTTTGGTTCTGATTGACGATGTCTTGGTGTTGCCTATTTGACGTGGTTCCTCTCAATATGATGTATGGGAACACTGGCTTCATCTGTCTGCAGACATGCTCTTTTTCCTAATTAGGACCAAATTTGGTCCGCCTCGGGTCCACGCCATGTTTTTATCATGGCTCTCACAATCCCTGCTCTTTTTCCTTTTAACTTGGACTTTCCTCTTTATTGTAATCGCTGAGTTTGCCATTCAAGTCATTTTCATTGGCGTTTGCATGCTTAGTGACCTCTGCTCTTACTACATTAATAGCTAGGCTCTTGTGCTAGAGAGAGTTGGGACTGATTTATGCAATTAAATTAGTTGATGTTATTTCTGTGTGGGATTCATTATGCGTTTAGAGGCGAGCATAAAAACTTGAAGGCTCTACCTTTTATTTGAAGGCACGATATCGGCAAAAGGTACCCTTTAGATTGTGATCATGTGATCAACCAGAACCTTCATTCTAATTGTTTTTCTTTTTTCCAACGATTCTAATCATGTTTTCTCACAAAGTGCTTTTCTCTTTTTCATTTCTCTTTGTTTCGATGCATCGGGAATCCGTAGGAGGTGAGTACTTTTCCTTATTCTGCCTTTAAGATTGAATTTCATCCTGTATTTCGTGAAAAGGTCTGTTGTGGAAGGGGAGCGGAAGCGATCAAAACAGCAAACTGGGAAACGATGACGAAAGTAGAATTAAAGCAAAACAAAAATAAAACAATCATGTTGTGTGGTTCTGAGGTTAGAGAACGAATGAACACTTAGGTTGTCAAAGTCTCGGTCACTGTCAATGACAACAGCCATTTTCAATAATACTCTCAACCGGACGATTTTTATACAGTTAACCGGGGCCTGTCACTCACGGGTTTAAAAATTTTTTTTTTTATATGTAATGCTTGCCCACAGGTAACCCAGCCCATGAAGGATGGAGTACGAGACATGTTGGTTAAACATCATTTGTTTAGCTGGGATCTTTGAAGGTGTTCGCTAAGTACATCAGCAGAAAATAAGTCTCGCGCCAGGAGAACGTGTTCAAGCGAAGTTAGTTACTCAAAATGTTTTTCTTTTGTGATTGTGGCTCAGATTTTACGGACTAAGGCATGGTATTTATTTTACAAGCAAGTTGTGAATTGTTTCTTTTGTTGTACATAGTCTGCTTGTGTTAACCCTTTAAGTTCGTAGATCTGATGAGCAATTCTCATTTTTAATTGCCTTAAATTTTGTTATCAGTTCAGAGAATTTGGTGTTATATTATGGCAACATACATACGTTTGCCGAATCTCATCGCCTGTTGAGGTTGATAATGAATTGGTATCATGAGAAGAAATTGTATATTGATCACTTTTGTGAGTTAAGGGGTAAACAACACTAGAGAATTAACAGGATAGCACAGTCATGTTCAAATATAAGGTCATTATACTCGCTTCGATGGTGCTCTCTTGGCAAGAGATGAATGAAGTAAGCCTGATGGTTAAAGAACTGTCTCGCTCTATTCTGGTGGAAAGGTGGTGTTAGTTGTGACACGGTCGCAAAAATTGTTTAAGTTAAAAAAACACACAAGAGAAAATATTGTAAAAGATGTTTGTAAATTAAGGCTATAGTATACACACTCTCATTTAAATGAGTTTGAAGGTTACGTGTTACAAGATGCGTTTCGTGACGACCTTAATGAAGCTCCTAGAGCGTTGCATAATAGTGATGTTAATTTTATTTATGGCACCAGTAATCTTAGGAAAAACTGTCAAAGGAGATTTATTGTTATATAGTTTTGGACGGCTTCGGCGTACTTGAATGCTCTAGTACAGTGGGCGGAAGCCTTTTGCATACAAGAGTGCTGGTTGCATATTTGCTTCAGTCTAATTGTACCTCAAAAGGTGTCGAAGTAACACAGTAAGTTTTGTTATTTTGAATCCATGAAATCGCAGGATGGTATTGAAAGTTTCGTAACTTGATTCAAAGGAAATTGGATTCCCGGTGGTTATGAAATTGATATTCTTGGCGTGAATGCTGAGGTGATAAATCCTCGTTTGGGGATCAAATCTTCTGATGAATTACGACCGGGTGTATGTGATATTAACGGTGCAGTTTTGATGTCACAACGTGCTCTCATTAAGGGGGCAAAATTTTTTGATTATATTTTATGTTAATGTTAACGAAAGAAGTAAGGTTGAAAGGTAGTTAATTATTAAAACCAGTGGTTGATAGCCTGTTAATGTCAGAGAACTGGTCACTTAATTATCCGCTTCAAAGTTTGGGTTTCTCTTGCAGCAAATTTACCCTCTGTTTTAATTTGCCTGCCTTTGACAAATAGGTTTGTGTCTCTGGTCCATGTGTAATTTCGAGGTAAAGTTCTGAAACTGCTGAAATAGACAAACAACACAGTTGACTAGAATCCGTTCTTAGTGCTTATTTTTTTAATAATTAGTAATCCAACAACATAACGACGAATCTCTAAGGAACTACGGTTAGCATTCTCTTTTTTGAGACTTTATTTA